AAAATAAAATAATAAAATAAAAAATTTTATTTTATTTCAATATTTTTATTTATGCATTAATAATCTTATATACTAAAATAAAACTCGAAACTTATTATATATTATTTGGAAAGATATTGTTAGCTTATGACAAGGTATCTTTACCATTCAAGAGTTCCTTTTCTAAGAGCGGTAATGATCTCACCACGAATTTCCTTGTTAAAGGGGCAACAAGTTCGAAAAGCCTTCATATTTGAAAGAAGTCCCAGGCATCTGTAAAAATAATTGTTAACATATAATTTTATACATCAATTATTATTAAGCTTAATAAAAATTATTTTTTATCCAGCTTTATATCTAATATATCACAATTAACTTTTTAATGTTTGCAATTGTACGTCTTATTATAAAGATATATGGATTTACCTAAGCAAATAATCTAGCTTCGATATAGTCGGTCGGTATAGAGGTGGATACAGTACCCGGTGCTGTCTAACTTTTTTCAAAGACACTTCCAGGAAATCATTAAAGGAATCCGCCAGACACTGTTCTGCATCGCGCGACAAAGTTTCAGTATGCCATCGATTGTCAAGTTCCTAAGGTTGAGAAATAGTTTAAGTTTATAATTGTTATTTAATAGTTTCGTTAATGTAATATTTGTTGTACATAAGATGACAAGGTGCAAGTTGCTCTGGTGACTTAAGTTACCTGTAGAAGACGATGAAGCATTCGTGGATCGACGGCGGGTTGCCGGGAACTTGCCACCCACCTTATCAAGGCCTGCTGCAACTCGGTGACATCACCTTGCACCGCATGTTGATGTAAGATAGTTAGTGCGGTTTGCGGAAGTTCTCCAGTAAAGTCTTCCTGAAAATCGCGCAAGTTCATATGAAGACATAGCCTGATTAGTAATTTCTAGAAAGATAATAAATGTTTTAAAATATTTTATAATTTTTATGTGAACGAGTCAGAATTTAATTTAACATTGAAGAGAATATCGAAAAGAAATTTTAAAAATATTAGGAGAAAATGTATAGTCACAAACTTATCTATTTATCTAACTTTCTTACTCGTTTTAGAAATTTTTTATGGTGGTTGTTTGAAATTTTATGATAATACGTATAAAATACAACACACAATTTTGTATTATATTCTATAAGTCTGAAAATACATGATATACTTTATTACGAGAAATTTACGTCGCTATCGTATTCAATATATGATGTAAACATGTCTTGCGTATTAGATCTAATATGAGTTTTTGTTAGTCGGCTTTGTGTACATACTCCTTGTTTGTTCATTTCATGATTGAGGAAAATTGTGTACAATCTTTCCTGTTGTCTTAGCTCGCCCCAATTATCCTCCTCGGATGTTCCTCGATCCTCTCTCGTCGACAGCCATAATTTCAGTCTGATTCTACCTTGGATATTACTCCTTTGGGTTCGCGCCTCAAGTTTGTACCATTGATCTACTCCAGTACTCGGAATATCCTGGAAAACAATATATTATTAAATATATATATTATTTTAATATTTTAATTTTAACATGCTATTATCACAAAACATTAATTATAACTCATATAAGGTTTAAAATATATGTATACTCAGAACAAATTTTATAAAATTATTTAAAACGAATAAATGTCGGTGCTATTATGAAGATTTTTTCAAGATAATTAATCAGAAATCTAAAAATTTAATAATTTTCAGTCAGTTTCCAAATTAAAAATTTCTTCAAATTATTGAACACATATAATACAAAACACACACACACACACACACACACACACACACAGAGTATTAAGCTAGTTCGATAATAAATCAATGAAAAATAAATTGAATAATCACCACTAAACAGATGTTTACACAACCCAGGAAATCATCCTGACTTCCGGATCTAGCACTTTGAGCGATTTGCTTGAAAAATCGCCCGAGTCCTTTCACGCCTCGTACTTCATTAAGTTTGATTACCGCGTCGAACACCGAGGACTCGTCGTCGTGATCCCTGAAATTATTAGTGCAAGTCTCGCAAAGCTTAGTTTAATTTTGAAATTTTGAAAACTTCATGTTTTTACATAGAAATGTTTAATTATATCATCTCAAATAATTATTCTAAGCTTTGTATAATTCTTAAGATTATATAATAGTAATAACATAGTAGAAAATTATTACGCATGCAGTGCAAACTCACCATATGTCCAGATGGAGAATATCTGTATTGACGTCATCAATGTCGCTGAAACAGGAATCGGAGTATGGTTATGTATGAGTACACGGATTTGCACTAGTTAAACTTAATAAAGGATCGCCATTGCGAGAGCCAATTACGAGGGGGTCAGGCCCCAAAGTTTTCGCTTACAAACGGAACTTCTCGTTCCAACGCGGACTCAACGTATGCGGCTTCACGGAGGTAGCTCGTATAAACTTCGCGGGTAGAGCACCGCTCAAGGACTCACGGTGTTCCCGTCTGCTGCTGTGCTCCTTGCGCTTAAATGAAAGCCTGAAACTGATTTTGAATGAACAGTTTAGTACCGTCGTTACTAATGCTTCGATAATTTCTAACATCCAATATCCATTTAATGATTCCTGATTATTAAACCTTGTTGTTTAATTTTTTTAGCAAACTTACCTCTTCCGTCTTTAGGAACGGAAGAACTACATAATCAATAGTGAAAATAAAAAAATAAATAAAAATATTTAAATAAAATAAATAATAAAGTATAATCTTATCATAATCTAATATTTGCATCTTTAAAACTTAGATATAAATGCGGATTTGCTTTTTCAATTCTTTTGAAAATGGCTGCGTTCAGTAGAACAGAACAGTTTTATGATTATCTGCTAAAATAGGATCATTCTTCTCTCTCTCTCTCTCTCTCTCTCTCTCTCTCTCTCTCTCTCTCTCTCTCTCTCTCTCTC